CGAGTATGGAGCTGCTGATTATTTGCTTGTCACGCCGACGTTCCTATTTGATCCGTCGCGTCGATTAATCCGCGACGCTGTCGCCATGCTGGCAGGCAGGCAGGCACCGGTCATATTTTTCCCAGTGTAATTTCGAGCTCGAATCCTCGGCACTTTCGTCGCTCCCATCAACGGGACAGAGAAGTATCATCGATCGTGAACGAGCCAGCCGGTCGACCAGTCGGCGTTTTCCTGTGCTGGAGACAGGACGTACGTGTATGTTCGACCGGCTATAGCAATTCATCCTCTCCCGATTTATCGGCACAGCCGTGCTCCCGAAGATTCGCAAGAGAAGGATGCAGGAGACAATTGATTTTTTCCATCGACTCCCCTTCCCCCCCGATGGATATCCGGTGAACCCATCCAGCCAGTCCCACCGTTTCGTTCCTAGCAATCTCCAATCCTCCTACGTTGTCACGCGTCAAGCGGTACACGATCCATAACCTACGAAGCTCCAGGGAGTTCTCGTAAATCTAGCTGCTGCTCTAAATTAAGCCCCGTCTCGTCAACACCAGAAGCATATCAGGGTTATAAAATGCTGGAAAACCAACGGCATACCTACTTTGATTTTATCGTCGGACCGTTTATTTTCCTCGGTATATCTACTTTGCTCGACAATTGTTACTTTCTCAGGTTGGTGTCGTTTCAACTCTCTCACTGCCAAGGGTGTCTCGAGCGAGGACATCGATCTCCGTTTGCCACTGGTAGCTTGCTTTCTGTACCACACGGGTAACCAACGATTGTTTAAAACGGCCAATCCGTTCAACGATTAATCCCCTCTGTCTTTCGCACTCGCAACGAAGCTTTTCTTTTTGATTCTCTCTAGCCTTGTTCAAGCGGCGCGACGTTTAATTTCTCTCCAGTTTCTTACATTTAACCGTCGACGTAGCTGGCAAACGAGACGGAGACGCGGTCCAATTAATCCGCTATACGAACGCGCGTATAAAAGCTTAGTTAGCGACTGTACGCGAGGCGAGATTCGATTAGCCCAGTTGCAACGCTCGAGCTGCATCAGGACACTGAACGATGACGACGCATATTCACTCCCGGTCCTTTCAATAAATACGCCCCAACTTTCCATAAATTTAATAAACCGGACGACGGGTTGTTGCCAGATGTTATTCCGCGTTTCCTGCAACCTCCAATTTTCAACGTTTCGCGGAGCGTACTATTCAGCTCGCGAATCGAGTCGGACACGGAATTGTAACTCTAACTTCAACCGAGCAGCATATTTCTTTCTTTAGAATACGAATGGAAAACACTGCTTGTCTTTCTTCGCGAGAAAGCCAAGTGAATACCAAACTTCTGCGAGCGAATGGACAGCAAAATTGTTGCAGTTGTAGGACGATTAAGATTCACATTGACCACGACGAAACTTTGCCGTGGAACTCGGCGAATTGCGAGGAATTACAGTTGACCGTGTTCGTCGTATTTGCTCGCGATACTTTCTGCTTCGGAATTTTAAGAAACGGTTCTGTTTACGGTTAGGTACCTATTCGAGGCAAATTTTTGTCAGCGTTCCGTCTTTGATTCCCCTGCGAGATTTTTTGAAGCATCAACTCACCGGGATACGTGTTACAACGAGCTTCGGTTGTTGTTTCTAAACTACATAATAGGATACGTTGCGAGGGATTTCTCCGACCTGACGAATCCAGCTTGATGGATCGCGGTGGCTGGTCACGGACCATTATTGGTTTCGCTGTATCAACTTTCTTAAGCCGCGGCTGACTAGCCCTGGACAAACTACTGGATCGACTTTCGGTATCGCTTAACCGAGTAGTTCGCCCGACAGCGCTGAGTATCTTTGACCGGTTCGCTTTTTCCCCGATGTTTACTTTAGCTGTAGGTCGTAGCGTTCGCGGTACAGATTGCTCGTTAAACAATAAATCTGTCTGTTCGTTGTAACGAAGCAGCGCGAAGTCTCGGGAAAGTTTAACGATAGAAAATTCCCGAACATTTTATACATAAGCGTTTTTGATACCTACATCGTTACATTCGAAGTTCCTTCACGCGTTTACTTTTATCGTTCCAACTGGTTCCTGAACGTATAAATAATTCGAAATTCGTCACTGGAGGATGCGCGGCAACTAAGTTCTTGCGAGTATACAGGGTGTTTCGTTTAACTGGAAACGGTGGAATATCTCACGAAGGATTAAAGTTATCAAAAAAATGTTCGTACAACAGTTGTTTGGTACAAAGGGGGACATTACGTGGTATAAATGATGTTTCTATAAGTGTAGTAGTGGGGGAGATATCAGAGTCAAGTTAATTTTTTTAAATGGAACCCTGTATTTTTTTATTCATATTATGATAGTGTTTGTTGAGACGAATACAACGAACTGCCACATGATATCATTCCCTGTAGTAGGAAGTGATAAATTAGTAAGATTTTAAGAAGTCGGTTCAACGCAAATCGCCTAATTGAACCCTACGTGACGAAATGGAAACAAACGATGAAACAAATGAAAACTGTACGTGTTTTGTTTTCAACAAAGAAATGGCCAACACTCTTAAACTGACTGTTATTTTCAGTGTTGGCCATTTCTTTGTTGAAAACAAAACACGTACAGTTTTCATTTGTTTCATCGTTTGTTTCCATTTCGTCACGTAGGGTTCAATTAGGCGATTTGCGTTGAACCGACTTCTTAAAATCTTACTAATTTATCATGTGGCAGTTCATTGTATTCGTCTCAACAAACACTTATCATAATATGAATAAAGAAATACAGGGTTCCATTTAAAAAAATTAACTTGACTTTGATATCTGCCCCACTACTACACTTGCAAAAAAATTATTTATACCGCGTAATGTCCCTTTTTGTACCAAACAACTTTTGTACGAACATTTTTTTGATAACATTAATCCTTCGTGAGATATTTCACCGTTTCCAGTTAAACGAAACACCCTGTATACGTAGGTATATGTACGGATCTGCGGTTCGGTATCAGCCGCGCCCAGTCCCCGAGATCGACGAGGGACGGTAAACCTCGCAAAGTATAGTCCGGTAGAGCCCGATGCACGGAACGAACGACGACGAACGGATTCCAAGGAACAGAGTGCAACGAAAGGGATCCGAGGAGAGGAAAAGCCGGGGATCTAAGGAATTTCGGCGTAATTAACTCGGTGGCCAGAGGGTGGAGTAGAGTCGGTGAACGGAGGGGGTTGATAATGACCGCAGGGTCGCCTTATCTTTGGTCGCTCGACCAGACACGGTCCGGATAAGGGGTGGGTCCCTGGAGCTTTTTGGCCGACCCCGGGGCCGTCTTTGTCTCCCGTCATTTTTCATTTGCTAATACGGAAAAATAGTCTACTGGCTCGAGACCGATAAAAAGAACCGGTGACTGTCGATGGAACTTTTTCGTTCGGAAGGTTGTTGTCGTTGAATCTCAATGAAAACATTATCTGGCTCGATTCTTACGTGTCGTTGCGTACGCGTTCTGTTTGCGTGTGCACTCGTTCGATCGAGAAAAAGAATGTGCGAGAAATTGATGAATTCTAGAAAAATGTATGTCCTATGCGCGACAGGTTTGCGCGGCCTGATATCGATAACGATGCGGCAGCGTGAGCAAACAAAACATACGAATACATAGGTGTAATTTCGCACATTAGCAGACTGCAAATGATGCCTCGTGCGAATTCCCGGTAAACGGATCGATACGGCAGCCCATAAAATTGCAAATAATACGGGCAAACGGTCCTTGCGGATGTGCAATTTCAACGGCAACGATTGTAATTTCATGAGTTCGCATCAATGAAACCGTTCGTTCGTATTCCGTGAATATTTATTTGTCCTGCAGCGCGAAATACCTACATCAATTTCATTTGCGTGTCAATAATGAATACAACTTTACCTATAATTCTGAATTACTAATTCATCGATTAAGCGAGACGCGAACAGCAATGAGTGAAATGAAATGAAAGGAACGGCGAGTATTTTGTTATTCATCGTTCGGTTATAAAACGGGCGGATACTTTTAATTGGTCGATACTTGAAAAACTAAACTGGAACGCGGTATTATTCCGTTTTTTTTTTCATTTTTTTTTTCCACGTGAAGGAAGCAACTTTGAAAAACTTTTCCGAGATTATCGAGCCTTCGTTACGTGCCAGAAACACTGAAAGAGGAATCGATCGGTGCCTTGAAATACATGAAAGCTGTTGGAATAGGTGCCCGAGCAAACATTCGCGGGATAGAGAAATTAGCGGACGACCGATCTGGTTCATTTAAATTAAAAATCGGGGAACGAACGACGAGAAGCGTAAATCCACGCTTAACGCGGGGAAGTAGCTTTTTCAGGCATATAGATACACTGATAATGGCCGCAGGTAGGTCAGCAACGAAGCGATAAAAGTTCCTCAAGGGGTCTCTCTCCCTCTTCTCCTTCCTTTCAACGACACAACAATGCCGTCGAAGCCCTCCTTTATAGGCGGTTACGCTCTTCTCCACGACCAGCAAATGACTTGGTCTGACAACCAACTCTTACGCTTCGCTATGTATCGTGATTCGCCTGAAAAGTTGACGTCAAAGCATTATGAGATGTCGACAAGCACGTGTCTTCCGTGCACGTACTCGATGTCGCGTACAGCTGCGACGTGATACTCAACGAGCAATATTCGAATCGGTTACTTATCTGTCGGGAAAAAATCATGTCTCGAGTGTTAGGAAGACGTTTCGCTTCACAGTTTCAGTGAACAGCGATCATGATAGCGATGGCGATAGATTTATTACTAGTGATATAGTTATAATCAAACGCGTCGTATTTTGTGTAAAAAGACTCGCGTATAATTGACTTGAATCAACAATTGCTCGTGTACACGAACACTGAAATACATATAATTATAAATGTAAATGTGTCGGAAAATTTTGCAGGTTTGAGTTGGGAGCGCCTTTGTATATCGATCGGTATGGTTAACAGAGCTTAACGATGAAATGTATGGTTTCAGGGGTGGACAAGGCGTACGATGCTTAGGGATGCTTGGTCGAACGACGGTGGGAAAGGCTGGTGCCGATGGTGGTCTAGGCTGGGCGGATTGCTGGCGATGGCGACGGCCATTTCCTGTCTTGTTGCCCCGTTTCCGGGTGCCTCGGCCAATCCGGAAGCGAAGCGTCTCTACGACGACCTGCTGTCGAACTACAACCGCCTCATCCGCCCTGTTGGCAACAACAGCGATCGCCTTACTGTCAAAATGGGACTACGCCTCTCCCAGCTCATCGACGTTGTGAGTAAACACCACTTAACCTATTATCCTATCGTACAACTAGCGTACACGTTAGAAGCAACATACGTACAGACAAGGTTACCACTTTCCAACGGGAGGCCAATCTATTCGCGAGTCTAAATCGAAAGTTTTTTTTTATTTTTGCGCGCTTCTTGATTTGCTCTACCGAACCTCAAAGAGGTGTGTGTCACTTGAGAATATATATACTGACGCGTAGACGTGTAAGCGAAGTACAAATCCTCGTATTTCACAATAGATTACCTGCTGTATTCCGGTAAACAGTAGGTACCGCGAAGTCGACCGATGTTCGGTCACTGTAGTTTTACCGAGACTACCCGCGAGGGGAGCAAAGGCAAGGTAGAAATTCGTTTGGATCCGATAGGTACACAGCGTAGTCGATGGCTCGTGTAGGAGGTATATCCTTGAAATGTATACATATACCGATCGTTTACGTACTTGCGGCGATAAGTTGAATTCCGGGAGTTCTCTGCCCGGAACCGGAACTAATTTACAAGCGGGTTGAGATCCGTAGCACTTGAGCCATTAATTGCCATAATCTGATCGCAAGCAATCAATCGTGTCTCGGCGAGGTTTGCTGGACCCCGTACAGCCACCTATACACTCTAGCTCTAGGTCATCTTCTCGACGGATCAATGTGCTACAATTACGCGATTGTATCTGCGTCCCTTTACCACCCCCATCTCCATCTCCACCTACCCACTCCCACCCCAATACCCATCCCCATCCCGATCCCGCCTCAATCCGGGACCCGCATTGTTTCCTTGGTTATTACATTCGTGTTACACGCTTATATATCCCGACTCCGAATTTCGCCTGTAATTACCTCGATCGCCGCCGTCAATAGACTAATACGTGTTCGGGCTGAACCTATAATTAATTTGTTATGGGCTGCAGCCGACCGAATGGCGGCCGTCGCATTAGTTATCGTCGTTGCAACGTCAACGTTAACGCCAACACCGTCTGCGTCGTTTCTTCGTTTAGGTTGAGCTGCAAAAAAAAATGGATCGCGTAACGTCGGTCGAATGGAACTATATCGTTAATAGTCTTGGCGGAGTGAATGCTCGAGTGCAGGAAATCCAACTGGAAGCAAGCACGCGTTGGAGAACAAATTTTCGACGTAGAGCGAAAAGCGAGGTTGTGGCGGGAAGTGAATCTGATTGCCGAGCTGGGTTATTATAAACTCGTACGCAGTAAAACTTGCCAACGTGCCCGGATTATTCGATTAAATCTGTTTATTGTTGTTTACGTCCCGCCTGGCTATTCCGTACGACTTTCCTAGTCGTTGGAATGGAATTAAAATCGACCGACCGTGGCGGCGCGACGTTCCCGTTTCATCGAACCAGCCGATTCGACGGAAAAAAAATGTACCAACACCGCGACAAAGCAACAGATGCTGGTCCGCCAAACGACGGGACGTGCCAATAAACAAATTCGATGAATCGCGGACACATTGGCTCGTTTCGAAGGAACAAGCGGCGGTGATCGTTTGTCAATTGGTAAACGTTCACAGGCTGTCGATGACGTTTACAATATCTGTGCCGTGACAATTATCGTGAAAACACACGAGTTCGTGGATTACGATTACAAGCTGCCCGAGTTAGGAATTTGTAATATACCGGCAATGTAGCAGCGGTTAATTCAATTTTCCCTTTTTCGTGTGTTTTCCGTTTCTCTCGATATCGAATACCGTGAGTTGCCGAACCAACTGTTTTTTTTCTCCGCGGAAAAACATTTCGTTCGGAACGATTCGTTTTAATTTTCCCAGAGGAATCGTGATTCGGTAACGTGTTACGTTCTACTGAATAGTTTCATTATTAACCTGGACGCGAAACAACTACCAACTCGCGCTGCCTTGTCGCGAACACCCACGAAACGCGCAACCAAATACAATCGATAATTTCGTTCGGTGAATCCTTCGTTTCCATTCTTCGACGTGTTCCACGAGTATTCTGTACAGAATATTCAGCGACAGACGAGAAGAACGCGTCTCGTTAACTGCACTCTTGAACCACGAGCCCGATGAAACTTTGATGAGGGACAACGCGCGCGGCCACTTCTCCATTGCATAGTCGAATCGCGAACCAGAAATCGCCGACTGGTTCACCGTAGAATGCAAATCACGACCGAATGAAAAGAGTTCGCGTATCGCGAGATACCTACTCGTGTGTAGACGAGAAAATACCGGGGTCACGAGATAAGGACCGTAGGTGGGAAATTGTTCAACACGGGAAACCTAGTCTGAGCGTTACGAAACGCTTACGGTAACACGAACAACGATGCTCTGTCACTATTTGTCGGACTATTCGGCTTCCCTCGGCTTTCAAAGACTGGGTCGGGCCAACCTGTTTCTCTAATCCGTAATTCAAAACACGCCGCTCCATTCAACCTCGGTTTCCTGCCGCGATCGCGTTACACGATCCACGATTTTCACTCGATCCTCGTCATCGACGTTTTCCTCGGTCGGCCGATTTCGGGATCCTCTTGTCGCGCGGACAGCCAACGCCCACTTTTCGCAGCCGACCAAAGGTTCGGAATCCGATCGATAATCACGGACTAACTGGCCGATTGTTTGCCGTGTGTAAACGGTTTCGCATTGTCCGCGTACTCTTCCGTTTAGACGCGTTCGCTCCAAGATACATACTTGGAATTTCTACCGGAGCGTGGAGTGTTTCTGCCGGAGACATAAAGCTGACCGTACCAGACGGATTTAAACACGGCAGATGGTTCGAATCGAGCCCTATCGTCTCGAATCGTATCGAATCGAGTCTCGCGATACTCGAACGGGATGGAAAAGCATTATTGGGTTAATGGATGCGGCGAGTGGTAGGTCTGGTCACAGAGGAATTACGTCCCAGAAGGGCCATAAGAGAAGCGATTTCTGCCACGGCGGCGGCGGCGTTGGATCGTTATTTACACGGCCTCCTTTACAAAGGAAACACCTTCCTCGAATCGTGGCTGTTCTCCTCCACGGGAGAACGGGCTTCGACTTCATAGGGATTTACGAGCTGCAGCACCCGGGCGAGATTGACTTTCGGCTAGAATAGCTGACCCCTTGTAGCCGCCGTTCGAAGCTTCCTCGCTTTTTCCGTCTTTGTATCGCGAGCGGATTTTCTGTCTCTCGCAAACAGACGAAATCTTGATTGAGAAAGGAGACAAACGACGCCGAACAAATATTGTTGTTCCATACCGCTCCCGAAGAAAAGCAATTATTAAACGTTGGACGTGGTAAATGCAGAGCGAAAAATTTACCGGCCAGCTGCGACTATTTGTCCTATCGATTATTCCTCGAAAGGAGGTGATTAATTAGCAAATATTTGAACGACTCGAAACAATCTGTCGCATACCTGCAACAGTATTTGCATCCGGTCGAATAAATGAGATGTATCAACTTAAAAGTTTCCACGGAACCGACGCGAGGTATTCTCTTTTTTCTTTTTCCTTTAAATTTTCCACGCAAACGATAACGGCTTGAACTCTCGCCTCGTTAGGGCCACAGCAGAGGGTAAAACGAAGGACTTGATCCCCTCGTTTCTGCTAATTAAGCCCGAGCTCGCGATATCTGACCGGAAATCCGGAAAGTAAATTCGCAACGGTTCGATTCTCCCTGCGAGCGCGCGCTGGCTGTGTTTTGAACAGCGTGCACAGTTTTGCATCATCCGACACTGTCCAATTACTACGGGCAGTTAGATAATCAAAAGCGTGCAATGAAATATCCTTTGATTATGGGCTTTTGTTTACTTGCCGTGTTTAGATGCACGATTTTCAACGCACTCTTCGGAGCGACAGTTCGCCACGATTCGATTCTATTCGCGCACTTTTCTTTATACTTCACTCACGATCAGAGACGATTGGTCGATCGTATACGATTTCATTGGAATTGAAACATTTGACCGTAGGATGTCGTCTGCGTTCGATTGTACTCGACTTTCGGACGATTTGATTCTTTTGGAACACATTCTACTGCACTCCTCGCGACTCGCGAGTGAAAATGGACCGGGACGGTTAATTGAAACGGGCCTTATTGGAAACTCGATAATTGGAACTTTCTTCGATTAAAGCGCGGCAGTGTTTAAAGAATGCTGAACCATTCTCGTCTCGAGATAAAACAATTACGGTTAGACAATCACGGTTCTCGACGATCACGATGGAACTACGGAGCCTCTGTGCGTTGTTTGCCAAATCGAACGGTGAATTACACTTCTCGATACAGTTAAATCGATCGAGTTAAACGGAACGTGTCGTTTTCCATTACGCGCATTTCGAGGGGCGATTATACACGGCGGATTGGTGCAATGCAAATAAGCGATCGCCAGTTCCGGAACTTTATTGCTTCCTCTATCGAACGTAACCAATTTAAAAATACTCGGGTCTTGCCAATTAATAGCACGGATATTTTGTAACTACGTCGATTAATCAAGCGGAATTTCAATGTAGGACGTAGGAAAACCTCGGTATCTGTGCAATTTCTTCAATCACTGTCAATTAACTCGAATTACTACAGTCGTAAGTTTTTTTCCTCGTTATCACTTTGGATCGGACAGCGAAATATTGTTTTACATCATCGCGATTCGAAGTGACGGTTGCGCAGGGCTCATCTTTAAGCTAGTGTTACAGCGATCGCGTTACCTCGTCGTTATCAGTAGCGACACGATAACGAAGACGCATTTTCGTTCATTAGGCTCTCGACCAGAGAGAAACATCGGAACGATTTTTCCCGTTAACGGTTCGAATCTTCTTACAAGCGGTGTTTCTCGACAGAGGTGTCGAATGTTCGTTAATTATCGATAGAATGTCGCGTATCCTGGAATTTAGGATTTCATTCCTTTCTCGGGTAACGAGGGGAAGGGTGGCTATATCTCGCAATGCACACTAAGGATAAAACAGGATCAACTATCGAAGTTGAAAGTAAGTTTCTAAAATACTGTATGGAAAGGCATACTATTCTCTGTTCCTAGTTTCGAAGTCAATTTAGAAGTTTG